ACCAGACGTTTACAGTTATTTCTTTTTCAAGAGTCTTTCCACAGTCTGTTGATAGGCATGTTTATGGGAATGTCTGGAGATGTTTACATGTGTGAACCTTCACCAGCAGGAGCTGCTGCTCGGTTGCCGTGTTTTCTGTCCATGTAGTTCCAAATTATCCTGTGTTTGCGATGTGGAAATTCTGTCTGCACAGATGCCACCCTGAGGGGCTTGGAAGCCCAAAATTCTGTAATTTCCCAACATAGACCTTAAAGAAAGCATCAAGCATAAATTAGCTCAAAGTTCAAATAGAAAACATTTATTATTTCTCATTTGATTGTATGTACAAAATAAAATAACATCACCAGTGAAAAAATGTCCAGCATTTTGTTGTTTATAGCATAAGATAATTTACTAAGATAGTAGAGGACCCAAAATTCCTTTTTCGTTCAGGAAGGAGTCATTTTACAAAGCGAGTCAATATTTATTCACCTTAGTGATGGAGATTCTATCCTTTAACGAGGACGAATACAAAGCAATCAGAGTCTTATTGGTTTTATTAATGCTCGCTGGTTTAATCACTGCTGCTAAATGTTCTTTGATCTCATGCAGAGCTGGTGGCATTAGTTTAAACCAGAGTCTAAACTTTTGTTTGAAGGATCCCAGGATTCAGATTGGTTCTGTGGATGCTGGGTTTGGATCGGTTGGGAGCGTGCTGCTGGCTGGCAGTCAGCGTTGGAGCTCTGTGTGCGGAGCTGGCGGTTTTGGATAGCAGGCTGTGCTGCGCTGCTGTTCCCTGATGGGGAAAGCAGTCCTTCAGTAATGTTTAGTATTAGGAGAAGCAATGGAAGATGGGCTTCTTGTCCTCCAGCAGCTTAATCCCATATTTCCGGTGTATCTACTGTTTTCTTCAACTGGAGCCAAAACTGCCACTATGGCCTGTAATAGATGTTCCTTCAGTCAATAATTTGTTACCCAAATGTATCAATCTATTTTTTATTGTAATTTATTGTCATTACAAGCAACGAAATGAACCACTCCCCTCCCCTTGGGGAGCAGTGGGCTGCCATTGTGCGGCACCCAGGGAGCAGTGTGGGATTAAGAGTCTTTGCTCAGAGACCCAGAGTGGCAGTCTGTGGGAGTGGGGCTTGAACTCAGAACCTCTGGATTTCCACCACAATGCCCTGACCACTAGACCACCACTCCCCTATACTTCCACAAATACTATTTTAGCTGGAAATGATTCCGTGGAAGGCTTTTATCTTTGCCTTAAAAATTACTTAAACTGTTATAAACCCGGTAAAAGATAAAGACTTAATTTATCTGACCAAGGAGGGCAGCAGCTCACATCAAAGACAACTGAATAACGATTATGCTAGGATTGTTCTTACTGATGATGTTTGAGTTGGTTAAACCCTAATAATACCTGCTGCTTGCGTGTCACAACGAATGCTTTCCCAAGTAATTTGTCTAATTAGGACAGTTCCTCTGTTATCATCTTCATTCTGTATGTGGGAAAGATTTGGGAATGGAATGAGAGCGGTGTCCTTGATATAAGAACATAATGTGATATTTTGATATGGTCGGAGCCATGGATGTCTCCTCATCTGCAAAGGTGTATGATGCAATGAAGTGACTGGTGTTGTATAAAATGCTTCTTTAACTGTGATACAGGGCCACTTCAGTGAGATGTGAGCCTGGTTGGTAGGCAGCGGCCTTCTGTAACTCTGAGCAACTTCTTTGGACTTAGTAATATTACAATTTCTGTCCAAATCTGTCATCTTGTCTCATGGTTATTTAATACATATACATTGTAAAGTGTTATTTAAAGAGTTTGTCCAGAGTGATCTCTTTTTTTAGCAAAGCACTTGCAGAGAGAAGGCTTCAAGGTTTAAATACAGAGCTTTCTTTTACAATTAATAAGACAAATACTACAGACATTAATTGCAGAAGCTGTTACAGTATCAATATAAAAAATTTAAACACTATTTACAGGATGTTTGCTGTCGGTTTCATAAAGGCCAGGCATACACTCTGAGAGTTTTTGCCCTTTTTTGCACAGGTTCTCTAGTCTTTGCGAGAATGCAGTAGCAGCCATTCAAAATGTCCCTTCCCAGTCAAAAGCTAGCCGAATGGCAGCAAAATCCCCTCCAACTTCCAGCCACTGTCGCGACCCCCTTTTGAATATCTTTTTATTCTGTCTCCACCCTTTCACTGAATTACAAGGTCTGACCAGGAGATGGTGCTGCTCTTTAGATCTTAATGTCCACAAATCATGACAGAAAGAATATTTTAGTACAAAGATTGAGGTCTAAAAAGGAATTGTAGGGAACCAGCCAAGGACCCATCAAGGAAAGTGGGGAAATTTTGAACGGCTACTCATGTATTTTCAGGCCAAGTTGCAACCTCATGGTGCGTCCTGTGTTGTGTAGTATACAGGGGGGTAACGAGGGGCTATTAGCCTCTCATGACCACCTCCCAATCTGGAATTGTAAGGTCGGTAGAAAATCAAACATGTTTGAAATTCAGTCGGCCCTTGTGAGGTGTTCGTCGGCGAATCCTACTGTTGAAGCAGCTATGAGAGTCTACGAGCCGATTTACCTAAACCTGGCACACTGCCCATGTACAAACAAGGGACTGCTTCTTCCAGATTGACGAGTCCGACCAGCTCCATCTCTTGGCACTGGGTATGACGTGGTTTTCGGACCTACAGTTTGAGCAGTTAGACCCTATCAGAGTATCGGCCGTACATTGTTAGCACACTTATTGTGAGCTGGGAACTTTTAAACCCTGCAAATTCTTTGTATATTTTGAGCTGCAGCTGAGTACAAAGATTGAAAATATCGTACAGTGTATGCCCGGCCTTAAGCAGAGAGGAAATCCTTCAGATCGCAGGGCATTCCAATCAGAGTTGGCAGAGAACCCGAATAAGCCCTTACCCGTTTCATTTCACAAGGGGCAAAGCAATACTGAAGGACATTTGATCTGAGGGCTTTAGCTTTTCTGCTGTAATAAAATTATATAGCAGCCGATAGGCATGTTTATCGCCTCCTACTGAAGGCACCTGCAGCCTGGGATAATCTCAGTGTAGTGGTAACAGTTCAAGGGCTGTAGGACCCTGGTAGAAAACCACATATGCATTCACCATAATATGTAAGCTATAAATATAGCAAACATTTATTATTTTACTGATTGAATGATTGGCTTAAACCTATTCTTCAGGGCAGAGTGAGTCCAAATTTATCAACAATGTTGTTAAAGACTAACCCCAAGAAGTTTAGGCGTTAGATAAGTTTAGATAACTGATTGTTAAGCTCATGTGATTATTCTTGTGGGAATAAGAAAAGGGTAGGGAACCCCTGAACCCCTGCTGAGTGGGAACTGTATTGTCAACGGACGCACTCAGTCAACAGGGAGACAGATGTCTGCAAGAGCTTTCCTGGTTAAGCAATATCTAATAAGCTAGTTACTTATTTCGTCTCAAAGCTTCACAAAAGAACCATTCATGTCCATAAGAACCCTAGGGGGCAAAATATTAATCGAATATGCAGGGAATGGAAGTAGTCAACGAATGCGCTGTGTTGTTGACAAAGAAGCTAATGGCTAATGAACACAAGGGAAGTCTTTTTAAAGGATTATTTGGTCATATTTTAGCAAATCTGTGTAATGAGCAGATCGGAATACAAACGTTAACTTAGTGTTTAAACCCTAACTGAAATAAAATGTAATATAACTTAATAGATAACATTCTAAAAACAGTGTCTAATTTAAGATTGTCAGTACGCTACAGTTGCCGCTTCAATTGTTAGCTTTTCAGTTCAGCTTTTAAAACACTGTTAGAAATACATCAAACATACAGAAGAACAACAATGACCAAATTATTTAGCTAAGCACACATTTCTCTACCTTTACCAGACTATGTGTCTGTTTTTTTCACCATTCTGATGAAAATGAAGGATTCCCTTTGGTCAGAAAAAAGCAGGTATGTCCGAGAGTGTTGGTAGCAGGCCGTACTTTTGAGAAACTTTTGAAGAATGCCGCCCCTTGCCTGTAGGGACTTTGCAGTCCAGCTGGCTAAGGCCTGGTTTATGTTAACAAACCAGGTTGTCTGCGTGTGTGTCGCAGTTAATGCAGATATGCCCCGTCCCCTTCTGCAGACACTCTGCTGCACAGTCAGCAGACACCGACAATTTTGGGGAGGTGCAGCAGAGAGGAGGCCTCTGATTGGTCAATTCTACATCCGCTCTACACTGTGTATTTCCTGTTTGTACCTAATGGCGGAAACTCTGGCTGTAGTGCCGTTCACAACGCCTGGCACACCTCAGACAATATCCCAGACACCGTGCATGACGCTAGTTTGTAGCTCTGTGTGATGGTCTGTTGTTTTCCACCTGAAGCCAAAACATGCAGCGCCACAGCCAGTCTTTGGGGAACACTCACGGGTGAAATGTGTGTCGTCTGGCATTGGATGAGGGGTTGTAGACGGTGAACAAGCTCGTCAAACCGACACACGGACACCCAAAATCCTAGCTAGTTCCTGATTGTCCCTCTTGTGTTGGGCCAAGGAATGACATAGTGCAGACCACGCTTCAATATTGGACATAAATCAAAAATAAAATATTTGCATCATACCTGCAACCTGCGGGAGTATACACAGCCCTTAAGGCATCAAGAGGTCTTTGTCTATGGGAACAAGGTTTTATATGGAGGATTCCCAAGGGGTCCCAGGATTTTCTTAGGAGGTTGCATCCTTGGGAATGTCCTGAAAATGGCATCAGCTACACTCTGATACAGAGTTTTACTGGCCCAACATTCTTGTATAGTCCAGGTTGATATTCATCTAAAAGCTGTTAGTTAGCAACTGTTGTTGCCAAAGTTGGAACAACCAGTTTTTAGAAACAGGAATAGCTGGTTAGCTGGAAAAAATCTGACCATAATTACACTCCTACAATTCATCATTGCTGTTGGACAAACAAAAAAATTAACAGACACATGGTCATTTTGGGTGATATCTCTTCCAGGGAGGAGGGGCAAGAAGGCGATGAAAGAGACCCCCTGCCCTCAACCAAACAAAAAGACAGGTCACACAGCAAGACAAAAAAGTCTCGCAGGGAGCGTCGTCATGGTGCCCAGGGGGCTGAGACGGCGGCCTCAACCATACCGCCTGCGATCAGTAAACATCCTGAGGAGGAGATGGAACCACAGAGCCAGGTACAAAATACCTAGAGAGCTGAGAAGGTAACGCCCAGAATGATGTTCTGAACTTAACTTACTCCCTCCTCTCTGTAGATGTTGGAGCCAGTGGCGGGACCCTCAGAGCAGGAGCCGGAGTCTGCAGCTGGTAGTGAGGCAGCAGGATCTCCCAGACAGCGACGCTCCATCATTCGAGACCGCGGGCCAATGTATGATGATCCCTCCCTGCCTGAAGGCTGGACCCGCAAATTGAAACAAAGGAAGTCTGGAAGGTCAGCAGGGAAGTTTGATGTATACCTGATCAAGTAAGTCATGATCAACATGTATCACTATGATGAAAACCAATGAAGTAAGACACCAACACTTCAGGTTTTCTTTTGTTCTCTACAGCTCTGAGGGAAAGGCATTCCGGTCAAAGGTGGAACTTCTTGCCTACTTTGAGAAGATTGGTGACACAAAGACTGATCCCAATGATTTTGATTTCACTGTTACTGGGCGTGGAAGCCCATCTCGTCGGGAAAAGCGTCCTCCTAAAAAAACAAAAGTGGTGAAGCCATCGGGACGAGGCCGAGGGAGGCCTAAAGGTACAAAGACAGCGATGGTAGAAGTTACGCCGGAGTGGTTCAGCTGAGGACGGCTTTTCATGAGTAGTTCTGCAGTTGTTCTGTGTTCATCTCTTCTGTTTGTGTAGGGAGTGGAAAAATGCGTCAGGCCACTGAGGGTGTAGCCATGAAGCGTGTGATTGAGAAGACTCCTGGCAAACTGCTGGTGAAAATGCCATTTGGCAAGACCGAGTCCTCCTCTGGAACCACATCAAAGGTATGACGGGTTGTTCGGCCTATAACCTGTCGATTTTCTAATTCGAGAATTGAAATAACCTAATTCAACTGATGCAGTGAAGCTTACCCTTTGCTACTCTCTTGTGTTATGTATCTTGCTGATTTGGACTTTGCTCTGCAGGGGGTGTCTCCTATAGCAGTGCCCAAATCCCGGCCAGGCAGAAAGAGAAAATCAGAACAGGAAGTTCCACCACCACCACCTCAGGCCACTCCCAAAAAACGAGGAAGGAAACCAGGATCAACCTCTGTTGCATCATCAGTGACTTTGACATCCACCTCCTCGACCACAGTCTCTGGGAGCTCGGCGGTGGGGAGCTACACTGCTGCCGCCATCATGGCTGCTGAAGCTAGACGAAGAGCAACTAAGGAGTCTTCCACTAAACCTGTGGTTCAGGAAACTGCCCTGCCAATCAAAAAACGCAAAACAAGAGAAACTGTGGAAGAGATGGAAAGTGTTAAAGCTCCACTGGTTATGACTGTTGAGACTGGGAGCACCAGCACAGCAGAAGAGAAGGGAGGCACAGTAGAGGGGGGTTCAAGATCAGACCCAAAGCCCACATCCTCTGTAGGAAGCCAGTCAGAGAAGCAACAATCTGCTTTAGATGAAAGCCAATCTCCTCGACACAAGGCGCATAAGTGCCTGAAGCACAAGGAAAAAAGAGAAATGGGAGATGGAGGAAGTAAAGGCAAGGATGATGCTGAAGATGAAGGAGGGGGCGGAAGGAGTAGCAGCAGCAGCAGTAGCATTATCCCTGCAAAAAGCCACAAAAGGAAGGAACGACAACCTCATAAACACCATCGCCATCAACAGCACTCTGGCTCATTATTAGATCAGCCACCTCCTCCTCTTCCAGAGTCTGAACCACCTTCCAGCCAACCCAGGCCTGAAGTCAAACCACAGACTGTGCCTCGTCTAACCCCCGAACCACACCAAAAGTCTGTGCCTCAGCCCCCTTCTGAACCTCTTCAACCCGTTTCTCAATCACACCACCAGCCCGGTTCTTGCTCTCATACCCAGTTACCCACTCTATCCCAAGCCCATGCTCTGCAAGTACACCAGTCATCCCCCACGGGACAAATAATGGTTGAGACCTTGCCCCCACAACCCCCAGTCCAAACCCTCAGTCAACCACTGTCTACAAACCAGACAACCCAGTCACAGCCTACACTCTCCAAAGCCCAGCATCAAAGCCAGCATCAGACCCTGCTTGCGCCAACTCAGTCCTTTCCGACTCTGCATGCTAAGCCGTCTCCAACCAGGCCTCCACAATCACAGGCTCAGCACCCCATAGCACTCCAGCCTCAAATCCAGCCTAGACATTCGTCTCATACCACAGCCCAATTTAAACAGTCCCATTATCAAATGCCCCAACTTCAGTCCCAGCCAAAAATATTGACCCAACCTCAATCACAAGCCCAAACAAAGATCCCGACTCAAATTCAGTCTCAATCACAGGCAAGAAACCAGAGGCAACCACAGTCTGAATTCCAAGGAAGAATACCATCACAGATTCAAAGTCAACCACAAACCAGGACACCAACACAAGGTCAAAGTCAACCTCAAACCAGGACACCGACACAAAGTCAAAGTCAACCTCAAACCAGGACACCGACACAAGGTCAAAGTCAACCCCAAACCAGGACACCGACACAAGGTCAAAGTCAACCTCAAACCAGGACACCGACACAAGGTCAAAGTCAACCTCAAACCAGGACACCGACACAAGGTCAAAGTCAACCCCAAACCAGGACACCGACACAAGGTCAAAGTCAACCTCAAACCAGGACCCCGACACAAGGTCAAAGTCAACCGCAATCCAGGACACCGACACAATTTCAAAGTCAACCTCAAACCAGGACACCAACACAAGGTCAAAGTCAACCCCAAACCAATACACCACCACAGGGTCAAAGTCAACCTGAGACCAGGACACAATCACAAATTCACAGTCAATCCCAAACTATGACACCAACACAAGGTCCATCCCAAATGAAAACACCATCACAAATTCAGGGCCAACTTCAGAGCAGAACGCCAACGCAAATTCTGAGTCAATTTCAGACCAGTAAACCAACACACATTCTGAGTCAACCACTGACTAGAGCACCAACACCAGGTCAAAGCCAACTCCAAACTAGGATGCCAACACAAGGTCACTTTCAACTCCAAACTAGGACACCATTGCAAGTTCAGAGTCGGCCTGAGGCCAGGACACCAACACAAGGTCATAGTGAACCCCAGCCTAGGAGCCCAAACCAAAGTCAAACTCAACCCCAGGCAAGGACTTCAGCACAAGTACAGAGTCCTTTACAGACCAGGGCCCCAGCCCAACTGCAGAGTAAACACCAGACCAGAACTCCAGCCCAACCTCAGACTCAACCCCAGACAAAGCTCCCCACACATAACCAGAGCCAACCACAGACCAGAGCTCAACCAACCCCTCACCTGCAGTCTGGCCAGCAGGTGCTGCCTCAAACTCATATGAGACACACCTCGCAGCACAATCTCCCAACTTCATATAGACCCTTACCCAGTCAGTCTCACACCCAGTCCAGGCCACCTGTTACCCAGTCACAAATACCAACGCACTTTCAAGGCTTTCCAGCCCAATTACATCCACAGTCTCCCTCTCAGCTCTCAAGGCTGCATGCCCAGAACCTCTTTCCTCACCGAACATCATCTTCCATTCAAACCCAGCCCAACCTTGTCCCAGCACAGCAGAACCAGTGTGAACAGCCCCAGGACCTGAGCACCACACGACAGACCCAAGAAAGCCAGGTCCCAAGAAGAGAGGCCAGCCTGGAGGGCATCAGGATGGAGGGGAGAGGGGAGCTGGTCACAGCGTCAGAGAACAAAGAGGTTTTAGGAAGTGACAGAGGGTCAAACAGCACATCAAGGCCTTCCAGCTCTGTGCAACCTGGACCTCCTGGAGCAGCAGGATCCAGCCTTGTGCCTGGAGCAGATGGTAGGGCTCGCCTGAGGTTGGAGCCAGAGGCAGCAGATGACAACAAAGAGCTCAGAGACATTGTCCCACAGTCCTCTGTCCCCTGTCCCAGCTGTGAGGAAACTGTAGAGTCACGAACTGCCGTCAGTGAAAGAGTCAGCTGATTGGTTGGTCGTGTGAAAGGCAAGCTGATTGGCAATCTCATGGACTGAGTCACCAGACGGAGGACTTTGGCCAGGCGGACGAAGGAGGTGTTTGGATCTTACTTTGGACAGAATTTAGTAGGACTGTCTCAGCCTCTATTCTTGGATCCTGTCCCGGAGGCCTTGTAAAGTCAACTTGTCACTGAAGGACTCATTGAGATTTGAATGATAGTGTCTTTTTATAGAGAAACAAAAACAGAAGAAAAGGAAAAAAAAATCAAAAAAAGAGTGTGTATATAATCTAAAGGCAGCTGTTGCATCCTGCTAGTCTCCGTAGGGAGGAGGAGAGTAGTATGGAACTAAAAACCGATGCTTAACAACACATTACTCTGTTAAGATGTTGCTTCCTGAATATAACCTGTTTTTTTTTTATTTAGTAGTTGATTGTTTTGTCTTTGTTATACAGCTTTAAAAGTTATATGAACCATGGCCCTGACTCTAACACGGACCATGTTGACTGACAGTCCCTCCCTCAAACCTGTCCACTGATAGTCTGTAGGCAATGTGCAGTGACAGTTTGCACCTTAAATCGGTTTCCTTAGAATTTTCTTCATTCATTACCTTTAATGTTTGACATGACATCTAAAGTAAGCAGATGTTTGTTTTAGCGTTTTCAGTTTTATGTGGTAAAGTTCTCAGTCTGCTTCCAGATTTCCTCACACCTGCAATGGATGTGGAACGATCTGGAACCAGACTTTGCACGGTCAAAGGGAAGCTGCTTATTGGTGTTTCACCATTTACAATTAAGCCAGTTCTTCCAGGATTTTTCCTAAACTGGTCTTTATGAACGTTTTTTGTTTCTCTCATGTTGTGTTCCTAATGTAAGCACTTTTTATATCAAACCAAACCTGCGCCTACGGTAGCTTTATTTGACTTCTTTTAATAATGAATGTGTGGGAAAGGACCCCTTCTTAACGTGTCTTTATGTCAGATGTCTGGAACAGTTTGCACATCTCAACTTTATACAATCAACTCCTTGCATGTCGCTCAGAGACCCTGCAGGCCTTCAACCGAAGCGGGGCCCGCGTGCGTAGAGGCCGTCCTGGCTTAGGTTCAGATTCAGATGTAAGCAGGAAAGCGGTTCAGATGTAGACAGAACATACCTCAGATGATCCTCAGTTCTGATCAGTGTCAGAATTTGTAGATGTCCTATCTGAGCGGAATTGTTAGATAGTTCTGAAATTTAGCCAGACCTAAAGTGAAGGCACTGATCCACAATAGAAAAAGCAAAAAAGACCCAAAAAACCCAAATAGTATTCATTTAACCTGGAAGTGTCACTAAGATTCACAAAACTAATGCAGCCTGACTCCATATTTTGTCATAGTCTAAATCTTGTAATTGTGGCGCTAACATCAGGGCTTTTCATCCATTAATTGGTGTACCGATACCTTTGAAGTATTTTAGATATTTTTCTCAGTGTCTTATAATTTCTCAGTGACTCAAACCCCTAATGTAGCAGGTTCAAGTCTTGTTGGAGTGGTAAAATCAAGACACCAACAGTGTGTGATTTTCAAAGGTACATAGTCAAGTCATTTGACATTTTTCAAATATACAATCATTAACAATTGTTTTTAAAATTGATTCTCATTTGGTCATTTACATAGGTGGTAAACAAGAAGGTAGCTTACCACAGCTAAGCCAGTTAGCGCCTCCCACCAGAGTTATGAAAATAATGACAAGTCCAAGATCCAGTGTGAAAAAATGCAAAAGAAAAAAAGAAATCAAAGTGGAATACGATTGAAATAGTCCTTATTGATACTGAAACTTGTGCTAGCAATGATATTCTTAGCCTCTACAGTCTAAGTACAAACAATATTATAAATACAGATAGATTGATTGGTTTATACCTTGATGGCTCAGTTTAGTCGCCATCTGGCTTTTTGATGATTCCTCGGTAGTGCCAGCAGATGACGCCACATCTGTTTATTTCTGCTCAATGACTGTCTAGATCAGGGATGTCAAACTGGTTCCAGAAAGGGCCATGTGGCTGCAGGTTTTCTTTCCAACCAAGCAATAGCACACCAGACTCCAGTCATCTCATCAAGTCATCAAGTTAAGACTGGACTCACTTGATAGGATGACTGGAGTCTGGTGTGCTATTGCTTGGTTGGAAAGAAAACCTGCAGCCACATGGCCCTTTCTGGAACCAGTTTGACATCCCTGGTCTAGATGGACACTTGATGTATATTATCTTATTTTGTCAGGAGAAATTGGCTTTTGTCTTTTTTGGTAGAGGCATATAAGTTGACTATGTACCTTAAGACTCCAGCGGACGAGAAACACGAGGAACAGCGAAAAATAAAATCCTACAAGTTGTAAAGGTCAGGCAAAGGCATGGTAGTAGATGTGTCAAGAATTCTGGATTTTTTTTCCTCAATTAAGCATTTCACAATGCCATAGTGCATAAGAGATGCTGACCAAAAATTATACAAATTCCTAAACAAGATTTGAAGGAAAGGGAATGTGAGAATACAGTAAAATATTGGGAAGATTGTAAAAAAATACCTCATTACTGACACCTGGTGTTTTAAAGGAAAAGTCGCTCATATTCAGAATTCAAACTTCTGAAAGTTCTTTAAATCTGAAATGATTCCATCCTGTTCAATAAATGATCAGTGTTTTTAATTCAGAGTAATTTTCATGTGAATGTGCTTTACTGGAGGCATCCATGTTTGTCAAAGAACACTACTGCCACCTACTGGTTAGTGACGTCACGGTGCGGTATCGGCTGTTGATCAAGTCCCAGTGCTGTATCTGGTGTTTGTCACAACGCGCTATTATCCAAGTCATCTTGAAAACATTCTTCTTCCAAATGTTGGCTACATATTACGGGTTTTTTCTCTGGCCAGAAGTTCGATGGCAAATCCTCCCTCTTCAAGTTGGCGATCCAACGACCAACCCGTCCGTGGAGGATCAGGAATCAGAAAGGTGGAATAACTCTTTTTTTTCCACTTTTACCCGATGTATTCCAGCATCCAGCTGCCATGCACGTGGGCATTGTCAGTTTCACTATAGCTCTGGTGAATTTCAATGGTGAAGTCCTCTGGAAATCTTCAATAATTGTTGTTGATTGCAGATGTGTCTAGTAGTTCCCATTGATTTAGCTTGGAAAGCGGGGAGAATGGCGCTAGGCTTACCGCACCGTGACTTCACTGCTGGAAGATGGCAGGAGGGAGGGGCTACTATATTTGGGCAAAATTCATTCAATCACAGCGAACGTATTAGTTTTAGGTATAAATAATGATCCATTGATCACTCCTTGCTGACCGGACTTTTCCTCTAAATGCCAGAGCCTTTTCTGGGAAGAAGGGTTGTTTTGCGGGTCTCAACTACGCCCTCTTCAGGTGAACTGCATGAAGCACAGCCACCTGAGAGAATGATCAGGCTATATTTCTACTAATTTCTCCCGGTCATGTCAGTTTAACTCCATCTACAGCTCCTGCTAAACTAAAATAAACGAGCATTCAGATCCAGAACCTTGGTGTGTCTGAAGGGTTAGAACATCAGGGTTGACTCTAACAGATGGGATGTGATGTTATTTACTCCTGGACCCTCCTGTTAGGACTCTACCATCAGCCACTGTCTGTAGGGTCAGAAGGCCTCTACGCACGCGGCTCCACCTGCTCAGAGCAGCGGATCCATTAGCTGCAGAATCGTTCCTCTGAGACCGGACCCACTCCACAGGACGCCACCCGGCACAATCTACAGTATCCAGCCACCGTATTGCATGTTCCAGAGTTTAGTGCCTATATTGATAATAATAATAATATTGTGCGTCTTGCCAGAAGCCACCATGTCAGCCGAGCCATGTTGTGTTTCTAGACCTTAGTAGTGACGTGTGGTGACTTCATAGTTGCTAATATTGAGGATGAATATTCTGCTTTTTCTCCAGTTGGATTTCAGTGATACTCCAGAATACACTGTCGCTGTAGAAAAAATAGTTTTTACCTGTTTTCTTATTTTTCTTTCTAACTAAAACCATTTGTTGTCCCCTGATATGTTTGTGGTCTCAGTTTTTGACTCTTCTTCCTCACAGACACGCCTTCCTGCTCCTCATCTTCAGCTGAGGCAGAGGTCCACCTGCACCTATTAGTGGTTTTAGTAAGAAATTCATCTAAAACTACTTTCAGTAAAATAACATTTCTAAATAAACATTTAAAGTCTAGAAAATTAAAGCTTTTGCACATTTTAATTAAATTGTTATTAACAAAACATAAAAAACTATATACAAATATCTATAGAAGATGTTTATATAAAAATGGCTGTAAGTAGATTATTCTTTCAGAAAATAACATTCCGTAAAAATTCAACAAATATCCACTGGACTTGGTTTTCAAGATTTGAAGACGTTTCGCCAGGAAGCTTTCTCAATTCAAATGTCTGGATCAGGATAAGACTCAAACTCACTGCGGATCCAGACATTTGAATTGAGAAAGCTTCCTGGTGAAACATCTTCAAATCTTGAAAACCAAGTCCAGTGGATATTTTTTGAATTTTTACGAAATGACTATGACCTGGATGACTGAGAACCTTCATCAGCATATTCAGAAAATAACATTTAGATTAGGAGATGATTATTTTAATAATCAGTCTGATTCATTTCTCAATTGAATTCTAAATTATCCAGTTCTATAACGTTCTACTTGTTCTGTAGGCTTGTCCCAAGATTTTTCACAGAACTTTGGGTAGAGTCTGGTCCAGAACAAACTGATGCTCCTCATTGACCTCCTAGCAATGTCCCCTCTAATGTTCCATGTTTGTGGACGTTAATACGAGCACCATTAGTCCACTGAGGAACACTGTGTAGATAGCCCACACACCAATATTACACCTATAAGAAATACATAGAAAGTTACACGGCTTATTAAAGTGTCGTAACTGTTATATTCACTTCCCAGCCACTCTTTTCAAACTGGGCCCTTTGGACCAGTGAGGTGGTGTTTCCAGTCCAGGTGAGGGTGTCTGTGATGAATTTGTTGCTGCTGAGCTTCAGAGAACATCTAAAGAACCTTTCTGAAGATGGAGAACAATCCTAACTTAAAAACTGATTTAAATGTCCATGAAAATCAACTTCATGGGCGGACATTGTCTTCAGTTCTGACATGACTTGATTGACTTGATGGTTTTTGCCTTTTCTAGTGTGTTTTTATTTTGTAAACATTTAAATGGAACCTGCATTAAATTAGGCACCTAATTTAGTTAAATAATGTTCTATTTTTAGGGCAGTTTTGAATCCAACCCAAAAATAAAACTGGACCTTTTCATGTTGCTCTCAGAGTATGAAGCTTCTCTTCCTCCAATCACGAACTGCGCTTCAGATCACGTGGTTCTGCTCAGCACCTCTTACAGGTGCGGTTGATACCGCTAATTGCCTTTTGAAGTCAGCACGCACCTTGAACATCAGACCGCCGCCGCGCATTGGCGGAGCTGAGGATGCCGCGTGCGGACGCAGAGCTGCTGCTGCTGCTTTGCAGCGCTTTGATTCCCAGAGCTGCTGCTTCTGGACCCATTTCAGGTTCGGACCCTGAACGCGGCAGGATGGAGCTGCAGCGGGTACAGAACCTCGCTGCGCAGCCGCGCTACGGAGGGTGCTGGGCACGCGCTTTGGAGCACCTGGACATGCGCTGCAAGGACATGACGTCAGAGAGCCAAAGCCGTGTGGCTCTGCTGTTCACCCACTGTCACCTGAGCAGGTAAGACGCAGCTGATCCCTCCCAACTCCTAAACCGAACCCGGGAGGATTCATGTTCGGCTGCGTCTTTATTTATTTATTTTTATTTTTTTCCAGGGTTTTCAACTCAGTGTATTTCTATAGCTCCAATTCACATCATGTCATCTCAGGTCACTTTCCAGTTCAACCAGATCATCCAGTCAGATTGATTCAAAGTTTTCTATCTAAGGAAAACCAGCTGATTGCATCGACTCATTGACTCTTCAGCAATCCCTCACACTAAGCATGCTTGTAGCGACAGTGGAGAGGAAAAACTCCCTTTGAACAGGAAGAAACCTCCAGCAGAACCAGGCTCAGTGTGAGCGGCCATCTGCTGAGGCCCACTGGGGTTCAAGGAGACAGAAGCAGACATAGAAAAAGAATAATTCTATCAATTGGGAGCATATATATAACAAAGAGAATTGGTCCTTCACTGATCCCTGTGATATTCCACAGTTAACCAATGGAGCATGAGGACAATTTATCATTAATGTAAACAAAATGAATTTTGTCAGATAAGATTTAAACCAGTCTAGAGCTGTTCCTTTAATTCTTGCAAAAATATTCAAGTCTTTCTAAAAGAATATTATGATCAACTGGATCAAATGCAGCACTGAGATCCAACAGCAAGAGCACAGATACAAGTCCATTATCTGAGGCCATGAGAATATCATTAGTGACTTTCACCAGAGAATCTTCACCAGCGTTTAATGCAATATGTCACCACAGGCTCCAAAGTATGAAGATGAGAATGTGTGGGACGGTTCACATTTTGAACAAAGCCAAGAGTGTCTAAGATTCATTAAAGGCTGCATTTAAGCTATCGCCTTCAATGTCAGCATGGATGTTAAAATCTCCCACTATGATGACCCTGTTAGGTTTTAACTCCAAATCAGAAAATAACTGATTTTCTGAAATGTCGTTTTGTGCAGACCTGTGGTGCTCTTCAACAGTACCAAGTCATTAAAGATGAGCTTTGCATCAAAAGGAACAATGAAACCTGGGGTGGGTTCTCCTAACGTCAGGAGAAACCTCTGGGAGGCTCAGGAGGAGACTGGTTCTGTTGGGCCGCTCAATCCGAGTCATTCAGCAGAACCATAACAGCTGCGTTCATTTCCAATCAGCCCCTATGTTTTTTTACTGGGAATTTTCTGAGGTCAAAACATATTTCTCTGCAAGAATAGGGTGACATCATCAGGTGACGTTCCGCGTGCTACAGAGCAGAGCGGGGGGAATATTTTATCATGTGGGCGAAAAGAAGATTTTTAGTTTTTCTTTGAGACGTAAAATAATCTGGTTTTGTTTTAACTTGGTGAGGAGTTAGTTCAGTGGAAGGAAAAAATCTGAAACATCCAAACTGTTCCGCATTTTTGCAATTGTTGTGGTCGGTTGTGTTTATTGTTTCTTGAGAGCAAAAAGTGGATTTGGGTCATTCTTCCTGTATTGTAATTTTTAATTGCTAGATTTTTTATGTATTTTATCATGAAATTAAACTCAAAGATCTGTTTAATAAAATATTACTTCCTAGTTTTGTGCCTGATATTTTCCTTGCCCTCAGGCCAAACTTCTAAAGGTTCTGTGTTTTTTGTCTGGCCTTCAGCTCAGGCAGGGATTTCCCATCATGCCCTGAGGGCTCGGAGGTCAGCAGGTGCACGGCTGGGATGGACGCTGTGGCGTTTAACACCTACACCGAGTTCTTCACTCACACGCACTCTATCTGCCACTTCCTGCAGTCTGAGGCCTGGCAGAGCCGAGCGGAGAACACCATGTACAGGTGAGCGGCGCTCCAAGCCCAGGGCTTCGTCTTACAGGTTCTAACAGGACCTCCAAGGTTATTTGGACTTTTTTACAGACGTTCAGTCATTTTGAAGGATTTTTATTGAGCACAATCTCCATGTTTTTGTTTTTTATTGAAACCTTTTTTACTTTATGTTAAGAGACGTTAGCTGTGGCTCAGAATTTGTTAAAACTGATTGTTTAACCATTACTCAGTTATTTTGGACATGTCCTAAATTGAGAAAAATATGGGACGAAATATTTGAGGCACTTAGAAAAGTATTTCAGAAAACTTTTAACAAAGACCCAGAGATAGTACTGCTTATTATTACCAAATGACATTACTGGAAGAGAAAAAAATAAATACCTTCTATAAATATTCTCCGAAATTCTCCAGAGTGTACCAATATGCCTAGATTTAAATTTGGTGACACACTTTAAAGCAGCATTCATTGCTGTGTTTGCCAAGCGATGTAGAACTATTGTGCATAGACAGGCTTCATAGATATTGGTTTATAGCAAGCAGAGCTCATTGAACAGGATCCTCTGTGTGTTTCAGGCTGACTGAGACCTCAGCAGGCGTCGCTGAGCAGCTTCAGTCCACCAAGCAGATGGCTAATGACCTGATGGAAGCCCAGACTTTGGCCTTACAGGCACAGAAAGAAATCCTGACCAACGGAGAGCAGCTCAAAGTCACCCTCCGAGACTCTACAGAGGGTAAACATTTACACCCCCACCCAGCGGGTCGGTTCACCCATAGCCTGACAGACTGCACTCTGGTTATAATAACCAGTAGCATTATGTCCGTACTGGGTTAGAATAAACCAGGTTGTCGTCATTTGGGATTTTTCCAGTAGGAAGGATCAACTGGTTCCAGTCGTATTTTGTTCGGATAAAACCGATTATTTGAACTAAGAATCGAATCCCAATCATTTCAGTTTACCGATCATCGTCTGTTTCAGGTCTGCAGTCGGTGTTCTCAGACCTCAGCAGTGTCTCCAGGGAGCAGCAGGTGGCGCTGTCAGAGCTCTTCAACAGAATCTCCTTCATGCAGAGTTTCCTTCTGATGGAGGCTCACAGTCTGAGCTCCTGCTGCTACAACGCTGCTGCTCTCTGTACCTCCTACCTCATCACCTCCACCCCGCGCTCCTCCAGAGCCAGGTAGCTCCGCCTTCAGCAGGTCACTCTGCAGAAATGAAGACCTCGTTTAATCGATCATGAACCAGTGGGTCCAAATTATTCCTCAAATCTTCCCTCATCTGATTCTTTAGCAGATGTACAAGCAGTACTAGTTTCCACCAGCAGGGGGAGCAGTTAGGCTATTTATTAAAGGTCTTCCTTATATTGGTGTAATGAAGTTTCCAATCAGAGTTTAACTAAATAGATCCATAAACCTGTTTGATGTTAACCAGTAGAACATCTGCAGATTCATTCAGGAAGTGTGAAAATAAAGGAAGAGATTAAAAAAATTCCAACAGAGAAGCTTTAATGTTTCTGTTGTGGTTGAACTGATGGATCTCTGCTTCTGATCAGTTTCTGGATTCAGTTCATGCTGACTTTAGTTTACTAAGTCTGCTGTTGAACCTCCAGTTTCTTCCCAGTTTCTCTCTATAGTTCATCAGGCAGCTCCAGGGTCACTGGACCTTCAGAAACAGATTGCTTTCTGGTGTCGCTGATCTGTGTTCAGGTTGGTGCTGCTGGGGTTGGTGTGCCTGAACTTCTACCTGGAGAAGAAGATCTACCAGTTTGTGCTGAGCTCCAGTCATCCGGAACACCTGCACATGGTCAGTGGTCTGTGCTGGATGTTCTAAACCTGCATTAAAAACCCAGATGTATGAAACTCTGCGGATCCAAGCTAACCTGCCTCTGGTGTCATTCGGCTGGATGTGCTTCAGCTTTTAGACGCGTCTCTGCTTGATGCTGATGGAGCTCCTCAGGAGGCAGACGGGTTCTGCAGAGTGAAGCAGAGACTAATCTAAAAGGTGAAGGACATCGGACCCTGAGGGCTGGAATAGATGTGATTTAAATGGTTTGTGAACATGTGGTTCAGATGTTTGGTCCTCATAAGACAATAAGAAACTAAAGAAGTGTGTGTTGGAAATGCTTCTAGATTAAAAAGACTTGACTAATCCTAAAAACATGTATTTTACATATTTGACAGTTTCAGACGGTTGGATGGATCCAGGCCTAGACTGTTAATCAAGTTGTGTTTATATCAGATAATGTAACTACTGTAGACCGTCTAAAGCAAACTGCTGCAGACGCAGCAAAACTCGACTACGACCTACTGCATACTATGTTGTTTTTATTAAATCTTCTCTAAGCTATTAGCGCAGCCTAAACCCTCCTTTAATAAGCAGTATGCTTTAGCTGGGATCTTTGCAGAGTTCTCTAAATACTCAGTGTCATATTTTTCCTTCCAAAGACGATGAAGATGTCTTTCTATCCTCTTTACTGTGTATTTTCACTTCCACTCATTCATTGCAAATAGCTGGTCGGTGTATTATAATCGTTCAGCAGTTCCAAAGCAAACCTCTAGGTGTTGCCAAAGAGGATGATGGAGGTCGTCGTGGTAACGGTTCCTCAGTGTAAACGCTTCCTGTTTGTCCAGGAGCTGGTCCTTGCATACGTAGGCGTGCTGCGGCGTCTGTCGGCGAGCGTCGGCGTGTTTGTCCTGCTGCTGGTGTGTGTTCGCTACAGAGACCCCGTGCAGCAGAGCCTGCAGGTGCTGCAGCAGCTCAGAGAGACGCACAGAAACCTGCAGGAGGTGCTGCAGCGCGCAGGTGAGCCTCCAGGTGAGGTGAGATCCGCTGCTGCTTCGGGGCTCCGGGTTACTGGTTTGTTTTGTTTTCAGAGAGATTAACAGAGGAGAAGAAGAAGCTGGAGGACCATCAGCTCCACCTGGAGGTGAGGTGAGGTCAGCAGGAGACCACGCCTGAACACACCTTACTCACCTGCTGCTCGTTTTTCAGAAGAGCTCAGAGAGCAGAAGAGTGGTGAGCCTGAGTTGTAGAGAAGAAAAAGAAGAGAAGGAGTCCAACATGATGTCATCACCAGCTACAGACTTCTCCCCCCTGTCTCACCTGGCACCTTCACGTCAGCTGACTGGAGGAACACTGAGTTTCTGCAGGAAAATGTTTTGTAAGTAAATTTTTACCAGATAAAATCAGGAATGTGAGGAAGATTCCAATCATTGTTTTTCTTTCATACAAGAGGTTCTGCTGTTACTTCTTGGTGAAGGTGTCCGATCCATCGCCCGATTACGTCATAGCATGGCGTCGAGGTCACGCTGCGACGGAAGCCTCCTCGTTATGCGGCCTACAAATGCGTCCTTCTTTTTGCCTGTTTTGAAGGTCAGGTCCGCCGTATCCTCTGTAGCCTTCGGTATCCCATGATTCATTGCGAGTCCAATAAAGCCGGCTGCTCCGTGCTCAGAGAAAAAAGAGAAATGGCGCCGATCAGTGGTGAATATTGGAAGTGCAGTTTAATATAATCCAGTCTGTGAATAGTTCCGTCTGAAATGAATGAAAATAGTTGTTTTAATGGTTATAGAGTCAGATATGTGGCAGTAATGTTTGGTTTAATGAAAGGTTTTATCTGTCGCTGTATAAATGTGTTTGGCTCAGATTCTAATATCTCTGCAGGGTGGGGGGGGACTATAAATCTGATATCTGAGACGACAGTTCTGCTGCTGAAGCTCCTCAGGAATGTTATTAACACCCAGAACAGCAGTGAGAAGTTAAACTTTTCCTGCTTTTTGTGTCAACTGTCAAGGTTGCTAGATGACAGAGCGTACGGGCGGTGAAAGCCGCAGAAGGCTGGACCTGTTTGGTGGACCAGCCTTATTTTCACGGACCTGGAAGAACCCAGTCCAGGTAGACCGGGTCTTTGGAGGACGCAGCCGCTGGATCAGAACACAGCAAATGGTTCTTCCTCCTCTGCTGCTCTCCTCTCTGACTTGCCTGTTTGGGGCGGGGCCAAACGGCCCCAAACAGGCAAAGCCTCCATTAAAGGTATAGTGGAGGATTTTCGCATATTTTTGAAAAGACTCGCCCTCTACACTTGTCAGACTCGCCACCGGTCAGTGAAAATGTGGACGAGCGCGTAGGACGTGACGTAAACGTATCACCAGAATGATTGACAGTTAGAGGACAATTAATTTGATGATTCACCTGGAAAACCTTTAAACATGGCTGTTCTGAGTTTCCGTCCCTCCAGCCAGCTTCCTGTCGAACCTCTTCCAGACTCTGGTTTAGATGTTCCCCTTTAAACCGGGAACAGTTTTTAGCGACAGAGGGTCCGGCTCACTGACCGGCGTTCAAATCGCCTCGGCTCTGATCGCCTTACAGCGAAAAGTTACTTCTTCTGCTGCATCTAGATGCCGCTGTTGACCTTTGACCTTCTCCCAGGTTCTCCTTCAGCTGAGAGCAGCCGTCTCCTCCGCCGCTCCGCTTCCCATCATGCATCAGATCAGAGCCCAGGCCCCCGGGCCCACCCCTCCTCCCCCCTGGTCTACAGCATCCTGGTGGAGGACAGGAAGGTGTGTCTGCAGTCACTTCCTGTCACATGATGCCATCACTTCCTGTTTGAATAGATCAGCCTTCATCTATTTGCTTCTTTATTGACCCCCCCCCAGCCCCGCTACAGCCTCAGGAGTCGGCGTTCAGACATTCATTGAGTGATGTCATCAGTGTTCTGCATCTGGAGATGGATTTTATTTAGTTTTTTCTTAAGATTAATAAAAACATTTATTTTTTAATCAAACTGTCTCTGATGATTCTTGCAGATCTGCAGCTGATAAACCGTCAGATTCCAGACGTTCATCTAATCCCAGCAGTGGTCGCTCGGCACCAGGCAGGATCATCTCCTAACACGGCTGCCAGTACAGCCTGAACATTTAATGAAATGATCCAGTTTGAATTTATGCTTGGATATACCGAGTAACCAAAGAGCCCAGGCCGGGATTAGAACCCAGAACCTTCTTGCTACAAACTGCTCCATCGTGCAAATGATCTGTTTTAAGAGCAGAGCTACTCTTTCCTTTGGCGCATCATCCTGTTTACCTGCTCAAATTAAGACCAAATGCAATTATATAAAAAACAATCCATCTTTGCAGTTTAAGTCAATTTCCTATGATGATCTGTGATCATAAGATGTGAGACTTACTGATTTGACCCTGGAACCAATTTAATATTTTGTCCGATGATTATTAACAAGTATTTAGACATTAGGCTTCAGTCCAGATCACAATCTTTGTCTGTTAGATCAGTAATCTACTTTTTGGTGCACGATGATAGAAAACCCTGCTAGATTTAATCTAGAACTGCTACGGGTTCAGTCTGGGGTGGTGAGGGCTGCTGGTGTCTATCTCCAGCTGTCCACAGGTGAGAGGGGGAGGGGTCCAGCCTGGACAGGTCTCCAGTCCATCGCAGGGCAACACAGAGACAAACAACTATTCACACTCACATCTAAGGAGAGAACCCAGGCATGCTCAGGGAGAACAAACAGACTCCATGCAGAAAGACCCCGGGCCGGGAATCGAACCTTCTTGCTGCAAGGCAGCATTGCTACCCACTGCCCCACTGAGCATCCGCCTTCAGATCCTCCTTCATATATATATACGTTTGTGTGTGTGTGTGTAGATATAAATCAAGTTAGGTCAACATATATTTAACAGCCTGAATTTCATGACGCAACGAATATAAAGTTTCAGAGAAATTCTATTCAGTTTATTTCTATAGCTCCCATTCCCATCAAGTCATCTCAGGGCACTTTCCAGTTCACCAGATCATCCAGTCAGATTGATTCAAAGTTTTCTTTCTAAGGAAAACCAGCTGATTGCATCGACTCATTGACTCTTCAGCAATCCCTCACACTAAGCATGCTTGTAGCGACAGTGGAGAGGAAAAACTCCCTTTGAACAGGAAGAAACCTCCAGCAGAACCAGGCTCAGTGTGAGCGGCCATCTGCTGAGGCCCACTGGGGTTCAAGGAGACAGAAGCAGACATAGAAAAAGAAGCATAGATACAAAAGGCAACTGTCAACCAGCTCCACAGGCGGCCCCGTCCAGGAAACACACAGCCAGGCAGACGAGCTCCGAGCCAGCTCCCATGTCAGAGGATGAAGAGAGCACATCCAGTTAGTCACAGTCAGAGAAACAGGACTACACTGGAAAACAGGCCAAGCTCCAACATCTAGAAACAAAGGTAACAGACCAGATGAAGCTACTATGAGAAAAAGCAGAGAGAGCAGAACGTTAGAGATTGAACTAACAGATTTTGCAGAGTGGGAGAATAGAGATAGAATGATAAATCCAGGTATTGACTGAGCTGAGACCTTTTATATGGTGCAGGCAAGTGTAAACTGTATAAAAGGAGGGTTTTATCTCATAAAATAAACTTTAGGGCCACAAACTAAATATACCTGTTATACAAATTTATTAAAATGAAATTCAGCTGAAAAAATAGTTTATTCGAAACAAAAAAAGCTTCCATTTTATATTTATTTAAATTTTATTGAGAATACAATTTTATATATAAAGCATTTAGATGTAACTGTCCTCTGGATTAGGGTAAATAAAATAATAAAACAAACTTTGTCTGCGGTCCAGATTCTGGTGCTGTGGTCCAACACCGATCAGACACTATTAGTTCAATCAATGCCTGGAAATAAAAAGCTTTAACTCCCGGTTCTGATTGGGTCAGGGAGCTTATTGGGATGTAAAAACAAAAGTGAAGCAGCTTGGAAAAAGTTCTGCTGGAATTCTGCTCCCCAGTTTTCCTTTTGCTCCAGATTCCAGACAGGAAAAAACCAAAAGCAGAGAAAATGAGAACCAGACGGCCGGGGGGGTGGGGGGGTCTGGGATCAGATGTCTGGATGGAGGAGGAGGAGTTCTGTTCTCTGTCTGCCTCTCGGATCCAGCTCTGACCCACAGTCTGAAGCGACTCAGAGACAACAGAGCCGCCGTCTGGATAGAAGGGAAAACTTTCAGGGGGGGTTGGAAAGTTAAAGGAGGAGACGGATCAGAACCGGATCAGAACCGGAGAACAGACGGACCTCCTGGGTGAGGAGAGCTGAGGCGGCACATTCATGAAACAAACTACCAGCAGACAGCTTCTCCCCTTCAGGACTCCTCAGATCTGATCCCAGAGCACCCGGGGGGGACTGGCCCCCTCAGTCAGCTGATCTGAAACATCTCCGTGGAAACAAAGATGGAGTCCATGAAAGTCAGATCCACGAACCTCCAGGAAGAGTAACAGAGACACTGAAGGATGGGGGACAGAGAGGGAGGATGAAGGAGAGAACCAGAACTGGGACAGAACCCGACGCCGGGACCACCTGAAGCTGGACTTTAGGTCTGAATGGGACCCGGCGTACAGAACCAGGACTCTGATTTTTATCTGGGCTGCTCTGAGACACAAAGCGACTGAAGACTCAGTGAGGGTGAGAGCTGGAGGATGATCTGAGGCCGCAGTGACCTTTGACCCGGCCTCAGGTGCTTCTACAGGTGCTGGGATGCAGCTGAACCGACCTCGCAGCACCCTGCTGGCTGTCGGGGGCCCGCCTCCCTCCTTCTCCAGCCAGTTCAGCACCATGAGGTTCTCCTATCACCTCCACACTGCAGCACATGGCTGCAACAGCGCCCCCCACAGGACAGGTGAGTCCACTGATGACTCTGGATCTATTAGCAGAGATCTATCACAGCTCTGAACATCTGTCCTCCATGTTTTAGACGTTTCTCTGCTTCAGGACACCTGATTCAGATAGAAGAGGCAGGTTTAACCTGATGGATGGATGGATGGTGGGCCCTGGTCCTGGACCATGGTTCTGGTCTCTGGTTCTGGTCCATGTTTCGTGGCCCCTGGTTCTGACCTGTGGTTCATGGCCCCTGGTTCTGACCTGTGGTTCATGGCCCCTGGTTCTGACCTGTGGTTCTGGCCCCTGGTTCTGACCTGTGGTTCTGGCCCCTGGTTCTGACCTGTGGTTCTGGCCCCTGGTTCTGACCTGTGGTTCATGGCCCCTGGTTCTGGCCCCTGGTTCTGACCTGTGGTTCATGGCCCCTGGTTCTGACCTGTGGTTCATGGCCCCTGGTTCTGACCTGTGGTTCTGGCCCCTAGTTCTGACCTGTGGTTCTGGCCCCTGGTTCTGACCTGTGGTTCATGGCCCCTGGTTCTGACCTGTGGTTCATGGCCCCTGGTTCTGACCCCTAGTTCTGACCTGTTGTTCATGGCCCCTGGTTCTGACCTGTGGTTCATGGCCCCTGGTTCTGACCTGTGGTTCATGGCCCCTGGTTCTGACCTGTGGTTCTGGCCCCTGGTTCTGCCCTGTGGTTCTGGCCCCTGGTTCTGACCTGTGGTTCATGGCCCCTGGTTCTGACCTGTGGTTCATGGCCCCTGGTTCTGACCTGTGGTTCTGGCCCCTGGTTCTGACCTGTGGTTCTGGCCCCTGGTTCTGACCTGTGGTTCATGGCCCCTGGTTCTGACCTGTGGTTCATGGCCCCTGGTTCTGACCTGTGGTTCATGGCCCCTGGTTCTGACCTGTGGTTCTGGCCCCTGGTTCTGACCTGTGGTTCATGGCCCCTGGTTCTGACCTGTGGTTCATGGCCCCTGGTTCTGACCTGTGGTTCTGGCCCCTGGTTCTGACCTGTGGTTCTGGCCCCTAGTTCTGACCTGTGGTTCATGGCCCCTGGTTCTGACCCCTAGTTCTGACCTGTGGTTCATGGCCCCTGGTTCTGACCTGTGGTTCTGGCCCCTGGTTCTGGCCCCTATTTCTGGACTGTGGTTCATGGCCCCTGGTTCTGACCTGTGGTTCATGGCCCCTGGTTCTGACCTGTGGTTCTGGCCCCTGGTTCTGACCTGTGGTTCTGGCCCCTGGTTCTGACCTGTGGTTCATGGCCCCTGGTTCTGACCTGTGGTTCTGGCCCCTGGTTCTGACCTGTGGTTCTGGCCCCTGGTTCTGACCTGTGGTTCATGGCCCCTGGTTCTGACCTGTGGTTCTGGCCCCTGGTTCTGACCTGTGGTTCTGGCCCCTGGTTCTGACCTGTGGTTCATGGCCCCTGGTTCTGACCTGTGGTTCTGGCCCCTGGTTGAGGCAAATGAGGCAACTCCTTCAAGCTATTTAAATTTTCACATACCCAGAAGTTCTGGGCGAGGAGGAGGAGTAGCAACAATCTTCGAGTCTGACTTACTGATTACTCCCAAAACAATTAATACCTACAACTCTTTTGAACATTTAACCCTTAATTTCCCTGATCCAAATTTCAAGGCAAGAAAACCTCTTCTTTTTGTAACTTTGTATCGTCCACCAGGTCCTTACTCTGAATTTTTAGATGAGTTTTCAGAGTTCCTTTCTGATTTGGTATTAAATACTGACAGGGTCATCATAGTGGGAGATTTTAACATCCATGCTGACATTGAAGGCGATAGCTTAAGAGCAGCCTTTAATGCTATCTTAGACACTATTGGCTTTGTTCAAAATGTGAATAGTCCCACACATTCTCATCTTCATACTTTGGATCTTGTGCTGACATACGGCATAGAATGTGAAGAAATAACAGTATTTCCTCACAACCCTGTCCTCTCTGACCACTTTCTAATAACCTTCAGGATTACTTTAACAGAGTTCTCCTCCCCCAAAAGAAGGTTCAATTTTAGTAGATCTTTATCAGATAGTGCAGTTATAAATTTTAAAGAATCTGCTTCACTTTCTCTCTCCTCTGTGTCACTGAGCAGTGCTGCAGAGTGCAAAAGCTTAGCTTATTCCCCTTCACAGGTTGATGATTTTGTTGATGGGGTTGCTAGTTCTCTGCGTATTGCCTTAGACAACGCAGCTCCTTTGAAAATGAAAACCATTAAAAATAGAAAGCTTGCTCCTTGGTTTAATGCAGAGCTGCGTACTTTGAAGCAAAATGCTAGGAAACTGGAGAGAAAATATCGCTCCACAGGCCTGCGAGAGTCCTTCCTAGTCTGGAAAAATGGTTTACTGCTGTATAAGAGGACCCTTTGTAAAGCAAGAGCAGCATACTTCTCCTCATTAATAGAGGAGAATAAGAATAATCCTAGATTTCTTTTTAATACAGTTGCCAAACTCACCCAGAGCCATAGCTCTGTTGAACCGTCCATTCCACCTGCTCTTAGCAGCAATGATTTTATGGGATTCTTTATAAATAAGATTGATCTTATTAAAAATAAGATCATAAGCACTCCTCTATCCGCGATTGTACCTGAGGTAGTCATGGAATCTGAACCGGGTTTAGACTGCTTTGATCCAGTTGAACTCTCTGAATTAGCAAAATTATTGTCTTCATCTAAGCCTTCAACTTGTATGTTAGATCCAGTTCCAACCAGGTTATTTAAGGAGGCATTCCCTTTGATCTCCTCCTCCATTTTAGATGTGATTAATCTATCTCTGTTACAGGGATATGTACCTAAAGCTTTTAAGGTTGCTGTAATTAAACCTCTGCTTAAGAAACCGTCTCTTGACCCAGATGACTTGGTCAATTATAGACCTATATCCAATCTTCCTTTCTTATCCAAAATTCTTGAGAAAGTAGTTGCCAAACAAGTTTGCGATCACTTCCACCATAATGAACTTTTTGAAGAGTTTCAGTCTGGCTTTAGAGCTCATCATAGCACTGAAACAGCTCTGGTGAAAGTCACTAATGATATTCTCATGGCCTCAGATAATGGACTTCTATCTGTGCTCGTCCTGTTGGATCTTAGTGCTGCATTTGATACAGTTGACCATAATATTCTTTTAGAAAGACTTGAATATTTTGTTGGAATTAAAGGAACAGCTCTAGACTGGTTTAAATCTTATCTATCTGATCGAATTCAGTTTGTTCATGTTAATGATAGATCTTCAACACGCTCAAAGGTTACCTGTGGAGTACCACAGGGATCAGTGCTAGGACCAATTCTCTTTACTTTATACATGCTCCCAATCGGTAGAATGATTAGACAGCATGGGATTAATTTCCACTGTTATGCTGATGATACCCAGCTATATCTGTCTATAATCCAGATGAAGCTAACCCATTACATAGATTACAGGCATGTCTTGAAGACATAAAAACCTGGATGACTCTTAACTTTCTGCTCCTGAATCCAGACAAAACAGAAGTTATAGTCTTTGGACCAGAGTCTCTGAAAAAGAAACTGATTAGCCAGTCACTTCATTTGGATGGGATTAAACTGATTTCAGATAATAAAGTAAAAAATCTTGGTGTTATTTTTGATCAGGACCTGTCATTTAAATCCCATATCAAAGAGGTTTCTAGAATTTCCTTCTTTCATCTGAGGAACATTGCAAAAATTAGAAATATCCTGTCCAGGGGTGATGCTGAGAAACTAGTCCATGCATTTGTTACTTCAAGGCTGGACTATTGTAATTCTTTACTATCAGGAAGTCCAAAAACTGTAGTTAAAAGCCTTCAGCTGATCCAAAATGCTGCAGCCAGAGTTCTAATGAAAATGAAAAAGAGAGATCATATCTCGCCTATCCTGGCTTCTCTTCATTGGCTTCCTGTTAAATCAAGAATAGAATTTAAAATCCTCCTTCTCACATATAAAGCCTTAAATGGCCAAGCTCCATCTTATATCAGAGATCTGATTGTTCCTTATGTTCCTAACAGAGCACTTCGCTCTCAATCTGCAGGTTTACTAGTGGTTCCTAGAATTTCTAAAAGTAGAATGGGAGGCAGATCTTTTAGTTATCAGGCTCCTCTCCTGTGGAACCAACTACCAGTTTTAGTCCGTGAGGCAGACACCCTGTCTACTTTTAAGGCTAGGCTTAAAACTTTCCTTTTTGATAAAGCTTCTAGTTAGAGTGGCTCAGGTTATCCTGAGCTATCTCTATAGTTATGCTGCTATAGGCTTAGACTTTTGGAGGACATAGGGACCCCCATTTCATCATTCTGCTTCATTCTCTCTCTGTTCTCCTATTCTGCAGAATCTGTTAGTTCAATCTCTAACCTTCTGCTCTCTCTGCTTTTCCTCAGAGTAGCTTTGCCTCGTCTGTTCCTGTTTGGCTGTGACGCCATCCTGGAAAGAAACATCAGCTGTGCTGCTTCTATCAACACCCTTGTTTATAGATGTTGGAGATCGGCCTGTTTTCCAGTGTGGTCCTGTTTCTCTGACCGTGACTGAGTGGATGTGCTCTCTTCGTCCTCTGACATGGGAGCTGCCTTGGAGCTCGTCTGCCTGGCTGTGTGTTTCCTGGACGGGGCCGCCTTTTACAGCTGCTTTTTGTATCTCTGCTTCTGTCTCCTTGAACCCCAGTCGGCCTCAGCAGATGGCCGCTCACACTGAGCCTGGTTCTGCTGGAGGTTTCTTCCTGTTAAAAGGGAGTTTTTCCTCTCCACTGTCGCTACAAGCATGCTTAGTGTGGGGGATTGTATTTGAGTCAATGAGTCAATGCAATCAACTGGTTTTCCTTAGATAGAAAACTTTGTATCAATTTGACTGTATGATCTGGTTGAACTGTAAAGTGCCTTGAGATGACATGTGTTGTGAATTTGGCGCTATATAAATAAACTGAATTGAATTGAATTGAATTGGTTCTGGCCCCTAGTTCTGACCTGTGGTTCATGGCCCCTGGTTCTGACCTGTGGTTCATGGCCCCTGGTTCTGACCTGTGGTTCTGGCCCCTGGTTCTGGC